CTCTCATTCAGCCTGGTTTTCATATGCTATGCTTATCAGATCCAGAAAAAGAACTGGTCTCAAAAAGCCTAAAGGGCACTGCACCATTTTTCAGGAACAGAACCCAGTGTATGGTTAAGAAGGACAAAATTTACTTCTTGACACTGACCAAATGTCTATGACTCAAAAACGTGACTTACAGTCCATTGTCCCCATGCAGGAATGACTCAAAGTCAGGAAGAAATGTTACAAGACTTTCCTATTTTTAAAATAGAGCCATCACAGGCACTAGATAACATCAAAATGCTATTTGCACAGCTACAAAAGAGCCCACAGGGCCTTTTCAAATAAGCAGATCTCTCCTCTGATGATACTGGGCCAAACTTCTCATATGCCTCCATTTATGCTGTTTAGAGTGTAATTCTTCATCACACTCATCAGACTGTAGTGCTACATTCTGACATAGACACAATTACATTTCACAACAGATTTATTAAGTGACTCATCAGTAAAGACATACATATTTATATGTGCACTTCTGTGTATTAACTACTAAAGTAAGATCACCTAATTGTGGAATACAACTACTATGCTCATAATTACTTAAACGATTCTTGATTTTGACTAGTAAAACCTTTCCATCCATTTCTGCAGCCTTTTAACCAAAAGTGAGGTTGCTCCTCCTTCGATCTTCTATTTTAGAATTTCTTATTTAGTTATGTCAGTATTAGTATTATGGGACAAGCATAGTTATTTGAAGTCTGTGCAATGTGTTTTGGTTTTGATGCAGAAATAACTTCTGACTCTTTAACACTAGCACTTAGACTCACTACACAAGATATTGTGAAGAGCTTTGAAGAATGAGCAACACTTCAGAAATTCCAATTTTCAGTATTGCCATTGTACAAACCCACTTAAAGTAAAAAATAAAAAAAAAATTAGAGCATACACCAGTTTTTGGCCTCATCATCTTTCATTATAGCATTCCCTTCAAATTCAAGTACTTTCAGCAAGTAGTAGTATGTAGCTATGCATTAATCAGTAAGCTCTCTTGACTAATCCAGTTCATTCTGTCTGGTAAGAGGATTCCAGCAGCAAACATGCATAGTTTTCTAAGAAGAATGAAAGCCAAAAGAGGCAGCTCCAGAGGACATCAAGAAAATAAAAAGTGACAGATTGGTGTCACGTAAGACAAAGTATGGCAGGAGATACCATGATGTTTTTCTCCTTATAAAAGCTCAAGAACAAGCAGATATAGCAAAATGGTCCTATTCTGCATTACAACATCATAAAGTATTAAGAGTAAACAGCATTAATACAAGATTATATAATTCCTGATGAGGCAGAATGCTCTCATTCTGTTCAGTGTTATTTTTTACTCTTTAATCAAATATAAACAAACCCACACCTTTTTTTAATTGCCTGGTCAGTTAGGAGTTAAGCTTCAATTTTAAATAACCTGTCTGGTTCAATTATGTGAACTTTCTTAAATTACACTAATTTAACAAGTCAGGCACAAAAATTTCCTTGAAGAAAGTCAGCATTGTCCAGAATTCACAAATAACTTCAAAACAGTATGAACAGACTTTCAGAAGTCCCAACCCTTTTTAGATGGGCAGAACCTATTTCTGCTTACATGAAGAATGGAGCTGGCCTACACATAATTTGTTCTTGCTGCACTGCATCTTTTAAAATAAGTAAAAATAAAATTTAGGGATATCTACAGTTATAACTAAGTGGTACTGGCATGCAGTAGAAAAGGAAAAAGGTGTCAGCTTAGTTTTGATGTCTAATTAACCAACTTGCCTTTTTTTTTTTTCTATCTTACCATTGCAATTCTTTAGCTCCTCAAAATCAATGATGTTTTCATTAAATCTAGAGACACTGCACTGCTGTTCTACACACTGCATTTCCACAAATCAGATTACTTTGGACTCATGATACTTTAACAGAATCTGAGGATTAAACAAAATGGTAAAATTAACGCATGCAGGGTAAGACAATGCTTCATTAATTGCAGCAACACAGCAACATGTGAATTGCATCATGGAAAAATACTTGCAAGCAAACAAATCTAACAGGGGCTCAAACCTCCCCAAATGCTCAGGTGTCTTGCCCAGACTCATCCAATCCAACAAGCTTTGACAGGCCCTTTATCCAGCTTCAGAGTCCCTGAAGTCACTAGCACATAGGCCAGCCTTACTAGCCTACCCAGGAAGCTGACAGACAGAGTTACCACTATCTCCTGCCACACCACAGGCTCACCATTAAGGCTTGACCTGCTTGGACTACAGGACTGCATCCTGCCTCCATCTGAAGGACCTTTCAGACAGAGAACAGAAGTTACTGTTAAACAGTCTTTGAATATCTGTCTTGGAACAAGTCACCCAAATTATTAAAAACAAACTGGTATCTGTTCACTTATAATAGCCTTTTAAGGAGAACAACAATGACACAACTGTCTTCGAGACTACTTTTCAACGTGCTTTTGACAACACCATCTCATGTAAGCTACTTCAACTTCCATCTATTCTCTTTCTTACAGTCAGTACAAGCCTCCATTTTGTGTGCAGCATATCCCCAAGGAAATGCAGAATTATTTGCTTAATGCTGATGATCACCTGGGCAAGTTTCCTACAAGCTTGTATTTATCCACAAGTAAGGCAGGAGCCACTTGGTGCAAATCAAGCACTTCCCCATGCACTGTTGGAAAACTGCTCAATGCACAAAACAAAATTCTTGGATTTTAATTTTTAATGTCAACAACCCTCAGATTAACCCACTAGAGAACTTGCATGTAATTTTTGCCTTTTGTCCTACCACTGATGTGAGGAAAGTGGATGTTGAAAATAGAAAACATCGGTATTGCTGACTTTACACACAAAGAGGAAGGTTATAGATGTATTCCAGAATCAAACTTTTCATCAGATAGGCTCAAAACAAGCACAAAAGCAGGAGCTAAGTGTTATTGCAGAGATACAGTAAAAAAACTTTGTGACACAGACTCAAGAAGAGATCTGGCTGCAGACTGCATGAATTCTATTTGCTTAATACTATATTAGAAATAACTTCTGCTGAAGTACTTCTTGGGTAGGAAAAGCATTCTAAAATCCTTGCTGTAGTGCTCATATCAAGACTTCAATATTTTAATTTTTTTTCAATATGTGAGAAAGTTACATACAGATTTCTTCAACTTTCTCAAAGTTCTCTACTTCTACAATTTTTCCCCCCAGAAAGTGAGCACTTAATGGCTGCTTCCTCTTCCTCAAGCCTTGCATTTCTAGTGGAGTTAGGCTAAAATCACTGAGTCCAGCTCCACCCCTGCCAACATATCAAAACAACCATTTTGTCTTAGGCTCCTCTTCCTGTGTGTCTAATGTCCCATTTGTTTTCTGCCTTCCTCTACCACTGTTGCTCAAAATAAAGAGCAAAGCAACTTGGCTGGAAGTGCCTTTGATTGAGGGAGCATCTTCTGCCAGGTTGCTTCAAGGAAAAGGAAAACTACTTGTTTTCAGCAAGGATGTAACAGCTATTTAGCTTCTGCTACACTTGAACTTTGCCATTTACCATTTGAGTTGAACAGGAATTATTGACAATTACTTCAACAAAGGGTGCTTGTGTATTATCACGGAAGTCAAGAATGGCTTGAACGATAACAATTTATAAATAACGCCTGCACATTCTAGAAAGAAAATTTTACTGCTTAATGCACAAAGGCCCAGTGAAAATAAATCTAGTAGCCAGTAGAAATATCTTTCTACATACACCTTGCTCTGCACAGACAAAAAAGTGCAATGCTTAAGTTACTAAATGACCTTTCCTGAAGTTAAAAAAGTGAGTTGCAAATTCAAAGGTGTTGCCTAAACTGACACTGTCTATACCCTTCGAAGAGGTACAGACCAGCAAGTGGAAATACCAGCACTCTGCCCATGCTCAGGGCTAACCTGAGGCCACATGACCACGTCACTGCAGAATTACTGAGCTTGATGTACCACACACTTCCCACAGGGACTTACAGCATAAGCCTCCATGATAACACGATGGCACGAGCCTTGATTAACTGAGACTACTGCCATATCACGCAGGGGCCTGCTCAGATATATCAGAAATCTAACCAAAATCTTCCAAGGATGTACTAATCCTGACACAGAAGTACTTTAGGAAGTAAGGACAAAGGTCTGTTCCAGCCCTGACAGACTCCTTGTTGCCTGTGAAAAGAATACTACATATGAGAATTAGATCCAGTATTTATTGCAAGCATGTAACTCCGAGTTTCTCAGGACCTTTTGTGGGTGCATCATGTTGAAGCAGGTTCCAACACACATTCTTAACTAAGGAGCAAACACACATCCATAAAGAAAATCTCCAATTTCAGTAAGAACACTGAAAAACCAAAATGATCAAAACATCCTTTATAACCACTATGGAAGTAAGCTGTAGGTAGATAAGGAAAAAGGGGTGAGACACCATGCATTTAATCATCTTGTTCAAAGACTGACCTGCATTATTATAGAGAATTTTAAAACAGAGCTGGTTAGATAATCTTAGTTTGAGGCAACATAAATTTATTTTAAATTACCACTATGTCTTAACACAAATACAGAGCTGTTACAACAGACCTCTCCGTGTTCCGGCTCTACAGCTAAGTATTTTTGGTGATATTACAAACAGTAGAACATACATTTATTATTTTGCATCTAAAAATACGTATCACAGTGTAAAGATTAAGTGTCATATCATTGCATATAACAAGTCTCACTATGCACAAATGATCACATTTATCTAGCTTTCAAGATGTAATAATTTCAATATTATAATTTTAGGTATTAGATATTGACATTCATGGTGTAAAATGTCTAATACAGCAACTAAGAATTCTTACTTCATGTGAACAGGGACCATTTATTATTATCTCTAAAATGCAAAGCATTCAAAAGCTCCTGCGACATTTTATGGAGGCTCAGAAAATATCATGGAGCAGAACCATCATCGTTTCATGCCTAGTGATGTTATTATTACTATTAGTATCTAGTGCTAAATCCTGAGAAGTCAAGCTTGGGAATTTCCTTTTCATTTGAAAAATTTGTTCGATCTATGCGAGAACTTGGGCTTCCAACTTTACTCAGCCAGGATTTCCTGAAAAAAAATAAAAAGGAGAGGGTTAGCATATAAAGAACTGTTCATGTGGGGTTTATTCTCTTGTCACACCTTCGCTTTTTACTCTTTTAAGAGCTGTAAGAAGCAGCCTTTCAATGAGGAAACTCCAATAAATAAATTTAGTTCTTTTCTGTTTTCTCTCCCTTTTTCTCCTTTAAAAGCAAAACAATTTAAAAGGCATCAGTATTTCAAGAAGTATTACGCAATATTACATCCAAAACCAGATCTGACAAAAGGCTAAAGCAGCTTTACTGTAATGATCCCTTTTAATTGCTTATTAACACTATTAAAATAGTTCTATATTAGCTTTGCAGATTCAATACTATACTTTTAGCAAGAACCTAAAAACCATTCATCATTGAAAAATATGAAGAAAATTGTAACAGCCAGTTTACTCTTTTCTGACAACTAAAAGGAAACTGAAATGAAAGTTATTAAGTTCAAAAGAGCAAAAAGACAAAGCTAACAGAAATTAAAATGACATCACAAAGCAACAGTAAATTATAAATACTAATGTATTTTGAAATACAACCCTAGGAGTATGTTTGGCAGATTACAGACTTGCAGTGCCAAATTGTTCCATCAGCTCCTTCCTATTTGAAGCCCCTACAACAGAGGGTCTATATGGAAAGACTTCCTAGAAAACACAAACCAGACGTGTATCTCATGTTTAAACTATGACAAGCCTTAATTTAGTATACATCAATAAAAATTAATATATATTTGTCAGATGTTTACACATTTTCACACCTCTTGTTCTTTGCTTCATGTTTTGAACAACCTTCCTTCTTGTCTCTTTGAGATGACGAAGCCTCCTGAGAAAGCCACAACACACAGGAATACAAGTACCTGAGTGGAACAGAGGGATCCAGATTTCCACCCTGAGCTGGAGCTCTAAAGGCAGACCAGATATTTCAAAAGAAGAAAAAAAAAAAAGTCCAGCAATAGAGCAGTCCATTTTGCTCCATATTATGAAAAATCCAAAATGTCCCTTGTTTATTTAGCAGAAAAGTCTCTAATATAGCTGGATGTCATTGAGTGAGAAAAAAGAACACGTATTTGAAATACTGAATTACTTCTAATAAAATCTGTATTATTTTTAGAAGACTAATGTAATATCCACAAGCTAACATATAATTACCTTTTTTTAAATTCTCGTTTTAAACGTGAGCTTGTCCTGGACAAAACCAAAAATTCCTTGCCTAGCTTACACAACTGTACATAAGGCCGTAATTCACCTATGGCTGCTTCCAATTGCCAACTTTGACTGCATGAACAAAATAATTCTGCAAACTTTGCACAGTGCAAACCTTATTGTCAGCTCCACATGCCTTCACATGAATAAGTATAAAGCACATATTATTAAAATCAAACAAAAACAATCCAGCTCCATTTAAACTCCTCATATGATGCGTGTATTCTATTTCTTATTTAATGCAAGAGGTAAGAAAGTGTTCCAGAACTGCTCCCTACCTGGGATTTGCATGACTATAGGGGCTCTCAGTTCCTCACTGAGATGTTAATACTTGGCAATAGGACTTTCCTCATTGCTCTTCCCTCACCTTGCTCAAGTGACAGGCCATTAACTGTACTCTATGCAGAAGCACACTTTTTACAAGCTAAGAAAGAAAGAAATCAGTACTAGCTAAAAGCAGTACACAGTTATAGCTGTTTCTTCTTTTATCTAAAGAGCAGAAAATGTAATCTTCAATATCTTTGATAAGGGTAATACTTTAAAAACGGTTTTTAACTTTCATTAGTATCTAGATCAATAGACCCGACTTGGGAAAAGGTTCTGTATCCTCCTCCTACTTCACTCAGACTTCTTAATTTTCTTTCACATGCGCCATGAATTTCAGATCACCCAATATGTGCAAGAGATTAGCTACAATTACTAGCATTTGGAGTTTTAGCTTGCCATTTATAGCATCCAATTTAAAATTCACTGCTGCTACCCACTTTGCTTCAGGAGTGAGAAAGACAGCCTCCACCTTGCTTCTCACATGGGCTAGTTCTGAATCAAATGAGGACATGCCTTGAAATTAATCTGCAGCAGGACAGTATATAGCTTACTCTTCAGTTTTAAAGGATTTATTTCTAAAGCTGCACTGCTTCAATGAGTCTGGAACAAGAGCTAATCTCAAATGGCTGTTTCCTACCATGCTTTGCTTTTGGAGCACTGCATGTCCATGCAACCACACTCAGACATGCTCCAACCTCATAGTTCAAAACCAAACTGGCAGTGAGGGGACTAGATAGGCTCAGATACACTTTAATCACAGATTTATGAGCAACACAACCTCCCTGTCCAGGAGAGCAGCAGTCACACAGGCCATTGCCCTGGGGTCTCTCCTCAAGGTGTGCAGCACTCCTGGCCTCTGCTTCCTGCCCTCTGCAGCACGGCTGAGAATAGCAGCTGATCAGTCCATTCTGACAGCCAGCACCTGCTGACTGGCTGTTGCCAGTGTGGGCAGCCTACCTCCTTCTGGAAGCTTCTTCACAGCCTCATAGCCAGTACCCAGCCCTCACCCCCAGACCTCCCCTGCAGCCACCCCTGCTGCCACACCTGGGCAGGGCTGCTCCTGAAATTACTCAGAACAAACCTCAACAACATTCCCAAGGACATCTGACGCTCCAAGCCCTTTTTCTCACCATTCTGGATTTTACCTCCTCAACCCAGTTAGGACAGCCTGCCAGAAACAGCCTTCCAACCTAACTTAAACACACTCTTTCTCTACCCTTATATTCCATGTGGCTTACTCCTGAGAGTTTAAAACAACTGGACCTGTCATCTTCCCCTCACACAATTTCTGAGGCAGATGTGCCTACCTGTTAACTGATCAGAAATCTGGAGAGTTCTTTGGAAATGCTGCCTAAGGAACTTAGCTTCTGTCATACATGACAATACCAGCACAGCCCTAAAAAACACCATACTTGGTATACTACAGGCAGTAGCTATATTATTTCCCTGAATAAGAATTTTTTTTTCAAATGGAATTCTATGCTACAAAACAGATTTATCTACAATAAAGCTTAGTTGGCATTATTCTCTGACTGAAATATATTCTCATTTTGATAAAGAAAGTGTTAGATCTGAAAATGACCTATGGCATTAATACCTGGTGAGCTTGACACAGTTCAGGAATATGTTTCTCTTAACCTTAACCACTATGTCACTTACAGAGGAACAAAAGAAACGTGTGCTTTTATTTACAGGAAGATAATATAAAGACACTGGTTTGTTTACACTTTATTTCCCTTTGTTTGGGATAAAATATTTGAGAGAATATTGCTTTTTTGAAGATTGTGTTTACATCTGTGACAGCGTATAGACTAGGACAGCAAATATTTATAAAATATCTCCAAAATGTTGTTTTATTCTGAATTTGTACTGTCACATTTTCATAAATCTTGATATTTAAATGTTTGCAGAAAAAATGTGGAATTCTTCATCATTGCTGTCTGGCTTCTAAGCTTTTGGGAAGAACTCTAGTCCTTGTTTTCAAGACTTTAATTTTTATAACCCTAAAACTCACATCTAGGTAAAATCTCTAGTAGCCCACGAAGGCACCTCACAGCTTACTGTAGAGCCATTCTATTGTAGCTGCACCTCTGCTCCTGCTGCCAGAGCCTAACAGTAAAATAGCAATCTGGAAACAAAATGTAAAGGGTTCAAAGCTGTGAAAAAAAAGTAGCAGGAAGGAGGAAAACCTTGGTTACAAAAGAGTGTCTGAAAATACTGGGTTTTGACATTTGAATCAATGTGACCTGAAAAAACAAAACAACCCAAAACAAAACACATGTAGTATTTTAGATTTAGCAAAAGCAATTGAGGCCTTAGTAAGGTGAAAGAAAACAGGTTCTGAAGAAAATACATGAGGGTTCTACGAAGAATGACTAATACATTGGTGCAGGATAAGGGCAAGAGGACTCAAACAATATGCACAGTCAATTTGCTTCTACCAGCCTTTATCCTCTGTTCCTGGTAGCTTTTTTAACTCTCAAAACAAGGCTGCAGCTTGAGGTAGAAACCTGAAGACACCTGACCTGAAAAGCTGCTGCCTGTAGAGTTCTGCTCAAGGGGCCTCTGTGCTGCCACAAACTGCTGCACCCCCTATAATCAGGTGTTTTTTAGGCTGTTGTGCCTGCTGCCTGACACACCACCAGAACCACTGCGGGCAGCAGCGCACTAGGTCAGCATCAAATGTCTGCAAATGTTTTCATTTGCATACTTGCAAATGGAAGGTAGAAGTAGTAGAAGGAGAAAAAGGCAATATGCAAGGGGAGAGGAATCCTGGCACATCTATTAGGATGACCCCACCACAGTCCACCAAATCAAAGCCACGTGACAGGTGACTTCAGAGGATTAAAACAAACAAAAAAGAAAGTCAGCAGTAGTCTAAGGAATACAGGCTGAGAAGTGGGTGAGCTAGAAGTGAAGCAACCCGCTCAGGCGTAGGCACAGCACCCCAAAATAGAGCTGGAGCATGAGGGTGTGGGGAAGACTGCACTGCTGCTGTCTGCTCACTAGCTGCTCAGTGCATCCTGGCAGCAGGCA